ACTACCAAACATTGTCACACGAGACCGCTGGCTTGAGTTTGGAAAGGCGCCAACAATGCCAGTAGGCAATCGGTGATAGTGGCAACCCTTGATTTAATAATTGCATAGAAAGCGACAATAATACTAAGTTATTAAGGCATCAATGTATGATTTGGTAATGGTATATGTACAAAAGGAATTCAAGATCAAGTTCAAGAAGCAAAGAATGCAAACTTAAGTCCAATGTCCCCTGGATCAAAAATTAAGAGACAAATATAAAATTTATCCTAGCTGCTAAATGTAAGTAAATAGTGTCTGAATATCTCAAAAATCACCATTCATCTTCCAAGTTCAAAACATAGAAACTAGAAAAAAAGAGAACCCAAAACATCAACAGAAGATGAGAATGATGAAAATGAAATTCTAATCATCAGAAAACCTATCAAATCATAAACCATAGATCCAACACTTATCTGAATTCTCAAAACTCACAATCATCCCAAACAACCTTCTCGCTCCCCCGGATTGCAACTTAATTTCCCATCTCACCAACCTGTGATTAATCGATGACTTCAAAACCTAAAGGAAAAAGATTGTAACAATCTCTCATGGTACCTAAGACAGGATCTTGACACACTCTAACGGAGCAACGGCAGTCTTGGCAATGCCTCTAGGGATCCCACTAGCGAGGAGCTCCTTGATTGCGACCGTGGTGGACTCCTCGATCCCGTGGAGCACGCTCCTGGTCCCCTCCACCCTTACCCTATTCTCCTCTTCCTCATCTCTATGGGCTTAGAATAGCCAGGGTGGGAGGGAGAAGAAGGGAGTTCATAGGAAGGTGGATAACCCAAGCACGCAAGGAGCTCTCTCGGAAGAGTGGAGAAGCTTCCTGGGGACTTCAAGAGACGCGCGGCTACATACGTGCCCACCGCCAGACGGAGGATGCGAGCGAAGAGGAAAGAACCGAAGAGGAAAGAACCGAAGGAGGGCACGGGACACGCGATCGAGAGCGAGGGCACAGAAGTAATAAAAGCGAACGAAACGCGGCCGGTGAGAGTCATCCCGCGGGCAGCGTCTTTAAGAATTAGAAAACGGTGTTTTGAGATAAGCTAATGAAACGCGCGAAACAAACGCTATACTAGCATTTACAAAACGCCGTCCGCAATTATAAGCTGTCCCAAACGGGCCCTAAATCTACATATCATATACTTAATTTTTGTTCTACTAACTCAAATCTTTCATCTTCTGATTTCTCTACTATTCTAATTTTTCACTTATTTTCATGTGTCTCTAATTATAAGTATGTCATCTACAAAAAACTGTACACTGCAACAAATCACAATGAATCTATTTTATAAGGATTTCATAAAAAAAACACTTTCAGGGTTCAAGACAACTTAAAATCAATTTATTATTCTTTCTTGTAAATTTTTTAAACAAATTTTTATTTTTACAAATCGTTCAAATAATAGGGAGTTTTGTAAAATTCCCATAGAACAAAAAACAGTGTTTGAAGATATATGCAGAAGCCAATAGTCAGTGGTGCTCTCTACCCGCTGCAAATCTGCTCAAGCTCGTTAACTCGCAAAATTCTACTATTTATAAGTGTGTGTTAGGGGCAGCTTAATGTCTGCGGCGCGTTTTAAAAATGTCGCTCGTCCCATTTGGTTGGTGTCGCGAGGGATTATTCTAATAATTCAATCATAATCGAATCGAATTTCAGATTAAACGCAGTCGTGGGATCGACCTTGCGGCCCGCATTCCTTAAGGGAACTAATACCCCGCTGCCCCCAAACGCTCTCTCGACTCTCGCTTGCCCTAGGTGTGATCGATCTCGCGAAGGTTGCGCTTCTCTACCTCACCCGCATCTCTCTCGCCCTTAGCATTGCCTTTCTCCTCTCCCTTCTCACTCGAAGCTCTGGTTATTGTGCTCTATAAGTAAATTCATGCGGTTGTCGATAGATTGGCTTTCCTTATGCGATTTTTTACTCTCATTTTTTGCAATTTGTTGTGAGATTTTTGTCAAATTGGTGATTTGTGATTTATGATTTCTCATTTGCGGTCTTATTGATTTTGGATTTGGATCTTGCAACAAAAAAAAAATGTGAAATATTTTGGATATTGGATGAAAGGTTCTAGATGTTGCTTCAATGGTAGTTTGCGACATTTAGGGAGCCCTGTTTGAAAAATGGATGAACTCGGTTGATTGAATTTTGCATGCCATTATTTAAGGTATCCTGTGTGAAAAAAGGATTAAATCGGGTGGTTCATTTGTATCATGTTCGAAAAATCGATAGTCTTGCTACTTCTAGTTTGAAAAGTGGCAAGTGAATTTAGTGTTTCATTTGTATGTGAAGGTTAAGCATTGAGTAGTTCGGACTTACTGTGAGCCTCATCTCAAAATGACAGCCATTTTTGTTTATGTTTCAACTGTGAAACTGAAGTTTGGAGGAAAGAGCATGCTTCACTTGCACATAGCAATGTTTTGGGCGCCCCATATGTAATTGCTCCAAATGCAAATATGGGTTGGGGTTTCTTCACTTCCTTTGATGTTTGAATAGTAATTTTAAAAAATAGATGAGATAGGGTGCTTCATTTGTTCATAGCTTTGTTTCGACTAGGCTATTTGTAATCGCATCATCTCAAAATTGCATAAGATTTTTTTTTTTTTGTTTCATCTATGAATGTGGGAAGTTTGTGGATATATGGTGGGGGATGGGTGGTGGCTGCGGCGGGGTTGGGTGGTGGCGTGGTGGGGGTTATGATGGTGGCTGTGGTGGGGGTAGATTGGTGGTTGTGTTGGGTGTTGGATGGTGGTTGTGGTGGGTGTTGGATGGTGGTGGTGGTGGAGGTTGGTGATTGTGGTGGGTGTTGGATTGTGGCTATGGTGGGGGCAGGATGGTGGTTGTGGTGTGGTGGGGGTTGATTAATGGTTGTGGTGGGTGTTGGATGATGGTTGTGGTGGTGGTATTAAGTGAGCTAAAGGCAACCAAAACCCCTATTTTTTAAGGTTTGATGTCTTCTTGTTGTGACAGGTTCGATGATGGTTATGATCGGTGTTGGGTGGTGGTTGAGTGGGGGTTGGTTGGTGGTTGTGGTGGGGGTTGGGTGGTGGCTGTGGTGGGGGTTGGATGGTGGTTGTGGTGGTGGTGGTATTAAGTGAACTAAAGGCAATCAAGAACCCATGTTTTATAAGGTTTGTAGTCTTCTTGTTATGACAGGTTCGGCGATGTTGATATATTTAGTTCTCTGAGACCTCGCACCGGCACCAAACCATAATTGATTACTACTTTTGTCAATTTATAAAGTCTATGTTTATTTTATGTTCCATTGATTATTGATATTTTAATATTATAATTTTTATGTTGTTTGTAATTTTTTTTTCTTCTTTTTTTATTCTTCTTGTTTTTTATTTGTGAGGTTCATGATGAGACGTTTGACCTTATAGGTTCTCATGAATTGTCTGTTAGCCGCTATTGGTTGATATCACATATGAAATCCTAATAAAGTCAACTAAGTTCTCTTATTTCTGATGTCGGGGTTTTTGAGGTACTTCTGGATGATCTTTTTTGGTGATATGCATATGTGACACACACGAGTTTGGTATTAAGTCAGCTAAAGGGAACTGAGAATTCTTATTTTATAAAGTTTGTTGTCTTCTTATTGTGACAGGTTCGGTGGGATTGGTATACTTAGTTCTCTAAGACTTCACGCACAAACAAAACTGTAATTGATTATTGTTTTTATCAATTTATGTTTGTGTTATGATTAATGGATTGTCTTTTGAATCATTCACGGAAGATGAGCTCTAGGATTTTAGAGGCCTCCCAACGAGTGCTATGTCACTGTAGACTACAGACTTCCCTACTGACGTCACATCAGGCACATACTTCGTCTGCATTTTAAAATTAGTATTATCAGATTTTTAATTATAATTTTAATTTTTTTTAAAGAATATTGATACTCACTGTTAAATGAGGTGTGTATCTTATCTTTTATAATATTTTGGAGTAGTTTTTGCTTCTCAAGTATCAAATATATTGCTATGACAATTTTGTTGCAAATAGCATTACTGTACAGGTGCAAAATGATCATTTATTCAGAAACAGCTACAAAACAGTTGTTTTCCAACAACACAAATCAAACAGTTAACCAGCTTATCTGAATTAGTTACTGCTCAGAAGCTTATCTGGATCAGTTGTTTATCAACATCTTATTAATAAGCTACAGCTGCCCAAAATTGACCCACCCTAAGTGAAATTTACATAAGAAACACACAATTCTTATGTATTTACACATCTCACGCCTAAAATTTCATATGTACATACATAGCACTTTTATAATTTAAATCTATGCATTAAAAGATGTTTAAAAAGTGATAACATTGCTATTTTTTATGTGACATATAGATTTAAGTGCTATGTGTTTAAATTTGAAAGTTTAGTTGAGAAATACGTAAACACACAGGAACAGTGTGCTATTTATAAATTAATTTCGGTCAATCCTAAAAAAAATCAAAACAAAAATAAAAAGTGGTGTCTGCTCTTCCCGACAAGGCCAAATTAAAAATTAAAAGCTCATCCAAACTCTCTTAGCTTATTCTTTCAAATCATCTCGGTCAGCGAAATCATCTACTACTTAAATTAATTATAGTTCAAAAGAAATGAGAATCTTCAATCACTCAAAAGCTTTTCAAAAGTCTCCCTGAACAAGCACAAAACAAACTAGAAGACAACAGTGATTTTACTAAAAGTTCGTTGGATGTAAGTGGTTCTACTTTTTTCTAAATAAAATTAGTATTTCTATAATAGTTTCTTCTTGCAAATACTCTAATAATTTCGTTCAGAAAATTCATCTTACCGAAATTCGTTCGCTGCAGAGTTAGGCACGTCGCTAACCTTAATCAACTCCAAATAGTAAAACATAGAAAAGGCGTGGGTAGCAAAGAAAATTGTGGCTCTTCTTCAATAAAACCCAACTCCAGATTCGACACAACCGACAACCAATTCAGCTATGCTTACCTCACAAATTCGAATAGAGAAGGCTCGGAAAATTCGAGATCTTCGGAGGCAGGTCGGCAGAGAAAATGATAGTTCTCGGCAATTAGGGTTTCAGGGCTCAGCACTTATGGATTTCCAATATTTTGGGGGCGAAGCAATGGCGACAGTTCGGAAGCTTCGGAATTCGGAGATTAGGAGGCTTTCGGGACGAACTCCACTCGCATAGAAAACAGAAATTTTGCATCATTCCACATGGCTCTACTCAATATATCTAAAACATTTACATGCATAGCAGCCAATTCGTGCTCATTTACTTATCTCGCACCAAATTTTAAATTTTTACATCTAAAACATGATTCATTAGTTATGAGAAGTGGAAATAATATAATTCATCTTTTCATATTTGGATGTTTAGAATGTAAAAAGAAAAATTTTGATGTGAGAAAAGTAAATGCATCAGAATAAGACATTAATTTTCGTATGTCTGACATATATATGAACTTTGTATGCCTAAATGTCCCGTAAATGTTGTATTATACCCATGCTTAATTTTTATATATACATCACTTGATATATTTAATGCTTAAACTTTACTATTTATGTATATAGCACTCAAAACACAAAATAAGATGAAAAAAAACACCCAACCTGACCATTCCATCAAATCCTCGCTCAAGCCCATGATCTGACTACATTCAACATCACAGCCCCTAACCTCACCGTCTCCTAACCCACAGTTTCTCGTCTCATTGCCTTCAACTTGCCACATACCGCCTCGCCACCTCTTACATTGTCGTCTTCAATCTCACCACCACTAATCTCTCCATCTTCGAATTCATCACATATAGAAGCTTGGCCATTAAAGGTAGTTTGCTCCTTCCCTTCTTGTGTCAAGTGAGTGTTCAATGAGGTCCATTATTGATATCGGAGTTAACCCAAAACCCAACAGAAGAATATTTTTGTTGTTGAAATTAAAATGAGTTACAAAAAAAAAGACTCTTAAAACTGGAGTAAAACTCAACATAACACAAATCTGCTATCAATGTGGAGCAAGACGACAGATGAAGATCGGTCGTGATGGGAAAATTCGGTGATTGGATGGCAAGTGGAGGTGAGATATGAATTTGATGGAGATGAAGAGGTTGAGCAAGAAACAGAGGGCTAGAGGACTGAGATTGGTGGCTGGGAGTAGGGAGGTGTGTGTGTTGACCTTACTTTTGGTTGAGGTCTAGAAACTTCTTTAGTAGTCTAGGTTTAGCCATAGGACTTTTCTATTGACTAGTCTTAGAAAATTAGAAAAGGTACCCCCACCATTAGAAATTCAAAACTTTTCTTTTTACTCAACTTGAAATTCCACATATTGATCCTAACCTCTAGCATTTAGTAGATAAGATCATTATAAGAGAATTCAAGAAGAGTCCCTATAGGATTACTTGGCTTTAGGATTGACCCTGGGTGTTGACTTGGAACTAGGGTACACCATATCTTCACAATACATTAACCCATGGTTCATTTAGAATGAATATCTATCCAATTCTATGTGAAATGCCTAACTTGGTCTTTTCCCCTAGGCACCTCTAAATTACCTAACTGCCCTTGGGACCCAAATTTGGCTAAAATTCCCAAATTTTGCCAAAATACCCAAAATTGAT